ATGACCGGTCCCTAAGTACGAAGTCTTAGCAGTTCAAATAGCTATAAAAGGTTTTCCTTCCATCACTGCTTATGTTTTGTGTGCGAGAAACATGTAATCAAGTTGCTTAGGTAATAATAATGATTTCATCTTTTTGGGGAAATATTTATTACTTTGAGACTGATTTCAGATCATAATTAGTAGCAATCAGCAAGTCAGACTATTTTAAAGGCATGTTTTACTTTTACGGAATAATTTTTCTTGCAACTGAATTTCACAACCCCCGGTAATTTTTTTCCTCGAATTTTTTTTGGTGTTCCGTATTCCGGAATGATGCTGTTCCGGTGTTCTGTGTTCCTGATTTTACTAATAGCCCGGCCACTTTGCCCATTTGATTTCGTCTGTTTCGAGGCCCTACAGTGGAACGGCACACGCGCGCGCGATCGGAAGATGAATGCCATGAACTGAATTATTGCCATGAGCTTGTAAAATATTTCCTAACCGCGTGTTAAAAACTATCCGAAAACCGCGATTTATTTTGGTCAATAACCGAATCCGGAGGGCTAATTTCGACATTTTCCGTCTCCGCACGATTTCCAGTTAACCGCAAACCGTACAAAATAACTGGATATAACCGAAATCCGACCTCAAAATATGGCTAAAACCGCATAACCGCGAAACTATAATAGGCCCCCTAGGACCATGGCGTCAGCATTTGATGACGAATTACGGGTTACGCCAAAATCATAGCAAAATCATAGGAAAAACAAAGAAGTCGGCCTTCTGTGTACCTTCTTCTGTGACCAAAGACACCAAAAACGGATCAAAATTGTATTTTAAAATACTCAAAACGCAGAAAAATTGGGAATCGACTTGCATTACCTCAATCCCATTCCCATTTTTGAGGACTTCATTTCCCATTCCCAGTGGCCAAATCCCAGTCCCAGCAACCCAAATCCCATTTCCCAGTCTAAAAATAGATCAATCCCAGTTCCCATTTTACCCCTTCAGGGCCCTCTTATACTACAAATGCTTTGTTGGTATAAAGATCAGTATGGAAAGGATTATTTACAATGACTACGAATTAATTTACATACAGTAATGCATTTTATCGATCCTTTTCATATCCAGCAGAGCTGGTACCCGCATTGTTTAGTTTCGTATCCCTTCGCTCTAATTATTAGGATATTGGTAGTACGTCATACTGATCAAGTAATCATAAGTCACGACATAGCCGTCTTTTTTCATTGTGCACCAAGGTGTACGAATTTCATGAATAGTATTTATAGGTGTCAGATCGAGATATGTAATTTGAAACGCAGAAATCGCAGACGGTCAACAAAGATGGCATGTACGCTGTTAAAGGCGAAAAAATCAGTTTTAACAGACGTTTGAACGAGAGGAGATCGATACTCGAGGTACTATTTTATAGTTATACAGTTGCGTGAACAGTTTATTGTTTTATTTGTGGGATATTTTAACTTTATACGCGATTTGAGCGAACTTTCGGTCAGATACTAATCCTTGTTGTTGAAAAAATATGGTAGGAATTTGCCACACGTAATCTCCAGAAATTTTACTTTTGAATGATTTGATGAAAATTAAAAGGAAATATCTGTTTTGTATCACAGTTATAGTTATTCCTGGTACGCGTCTAAACCCGCCAACCGCTCGATAGTGCTTAGCGAACCCATATTATATAAAATGGAACAGCTTAATTAATGGTATTAATAACCACTGTGAATTACGCATGAGATTCAACATGACATTCAACATGATATTCGATATTGTGTGAACTCACTCATTTCAATCACTCAGAAGTGAAAATGAAAAATATAGCCATTTCTTCTCTTCCAAATGAATTAGAAATAAATAAATCATATAGTTCGTATTAACAAATTAATACCTTTATGTTTTATTGCATAAAAACTAATAAACGCGCATCAAAGCAGTCCAAAAAGACATTTTACTAACAATAACCACAGGTGCCAAATACAGCCTGTACTAAAAAAAACTGTCATTAAATTCCAACCCCGCTATTCTATAGGATTTTCTTAAAATTTCATATATTGTGTGCAAGTATACGCTCTTCCAAATCGTTACTTAAAGGTAAGCGGTGCAAGCCTATATAAACTAGCGAGAATCCGTCTCAAAATTTGACTATTTTGCCCGCCTCATCCTAATTAATTCTGATATACACAAAGTCAATGATATATGTGCGCTGTCAAAAATTGCCCCTTTAAACCATCCATAACTTCCACTCTATTGTATACAATTTTTTTGAGCTTTCACATCTTGTACAAAATTATATGCTATTTTACATGGTTACTTACAAGTATGTGGTGCAAGCCTTAAAATGAACGAAAATCCCACTCAAATTGGACTGCATTACATGCATCTGATATACCATAGTTAATAATTGCTGCCGCAGCGAGCGAGCCTGAAGCGAGCGAGCAAGGCAGCAGATCCTAATTTTGTTTTGTGGGTCGATATCAAAATTTTCTATTTGGCGCATTGCATGACGGTACCAGTGAATTTTAACCGTGGTGCAGCGCGGTCAAGCATAAGGCAAGCAGGCAATGTGATTATCTTTCATCTTTGGTCTAGTCTTCTTTTATGGAAAGCCATAGCTGGCTTAAAGTGATCAAACGGCATTTTGTTGGGTGCTTTTAGCATTATACGGCGGTGCTTTCGGCATTATACACGGTGCTTTCGCCATTATACGCGGTGGTTTCCGCATTATACGCTGTGGTTCCAGCATTATACGCGGTGCTTTCACCATTATATACGCGGTGCTTTCACCATTTATATACGCGGTGCTTTTGCAATTATACGCAGTGGTTCGAGCACTATATGCGGTGCTTTTAACATTATACGCGATGCTAGCTTTCATTCAACATTATTTTCATATTCTTTCCATGACATGTATATGATTTAACGATCATGTATATGTTATGTATATGATTTGGTATGTGGTTGACGAATGCTTTTTGCCTATGGTCCGCAAAGACAATGACATGCTTTTCTGTGTATATAAATGAATATAACGCAGCGAATGCGCCAAGCAGTATAAACGCGCGGCTGAAATACGATATTAAAATCTTGAATGTGCCGTATGATTTAATTATGTTTTAGGATTTACAAATGCTTTGTCATTTGGTGTTTATACTTGTACTGCATCACAAGGCAGTACGTAAGTGAAAAAATTTCACATGTGAGACTGTCTTGTATATATTTTTTGCTTTCTTTGATAAACATTATTAATAAACACGCAAATTTTAATTAGGGAGACGCAATGTTAAATGTCACCTGCATGTCATTGTCATTGCCCTTTAACCCCTGGTCTAATTGGCCGCTTTTGAAAATGTTGATCATGACGAACCGCACTTTTGTGTTTTAAAAACGAGTTAGGATAAAACGCGGATACGGACGGACGGACGGTTGGCGACGGACTGATCGGACGGATAACATATATATGTAATTATATAGTCTGCGCGAGTCTGCGCGCAGCCGCGCAGGGTAGTTAGTGGCTTACGTCTTCGCTGGTTTTGTATTTACCGAGAAATCAATATTCCGAGTATATAAATATATAAACTGGGATGTCACACTGATAGTTTGTTTATATTTCCTGGAGCATCAAATCTTATGTTTAACCACGGTGGTTTAACCCATTAGCTGGCAACGCGCCAGTCCCTTGTCCAGCGCCAGAAAATTTTACTCGTCAGTGGTACAGGGTACTGCCAGTAAATGGGTTAACAAACCTATCTGCCAGTGGCTCTTGTTAATCCATCAGCACAGTAATGACTTTAGTATTTACCCTGTCCAACGCCAGACGATTTTTAATACTCAGTCAGTGGTAGGGCCGTGCTGTCAATAAATGGGTTAACAAGGATAACAATAGCCTGCGTAGCGGCTATCAGATCTACTTTCTCTGAGAGCAGCTACGCAGGCTAGGATAACAATAATAGGATGTTTCTGAAGGACTCGTTCAACACCCTGTAGTTTGTCTTTTGCTGTCAAAGGCAGCATTACTGCCCTGTGGGTAACCTAGTTATACAGTATATGTGTTGCGAGGACCTTCCTGCATTTAATTTGTAGATTTTGCGCCCCCTATTCTATAGGATTTTCTTAAACTTTCATATATAGTATAGAATTAAATGCTCTTTCAAATGGTTACTTACACGTAAGCCGTACAAGCTTGAAAAAGAACGAAAATCCTACTCAAACAGGACTGTCCTTCGCGCCTATTATAAGCCAATTATATACATGTGAGCTTTGTCTGTTTAATTGTAAAAATCTTGCGCGCTATTCTATAGGATTTTCTTAAAATTTCATATATTGTATAAAATTATATGCTCTTTCAAATGGTTACTAACACGTAAGTGGTGCAAGCCTTAAAATGAACGAAAATCCCACACAAACATGACTGTACTTCGCACCTCTTATATTATAAGCCTATTATATATCAGCTTTCAACAACTGTCTGTTTAATTGTAAAAATCTTGCGCGCTATTCTATAGGATTTTCTTAAATTTCATATATGGTATAAAATTATATGCTCTTTCAAATGGTTACTAACACGTAAGTGGTGCCAGCCGTAAAATGAACGAAAATCCCACTCAAATTTGGCTGTATAATTACGAGCATCTGATACACTAAGCCAATTATATATGCGTTGAGAGGAACTCCCTGCATTTAATTTGTAGATTTTGCGCACGCTATTCTATAGGATTTTCTTAAACTTTCATATATTGTATCAAATTATATGCTCTTTCAAATGGTTACTAACACGTAAGTGGTACAAGCCTGAAAATGAACGAAAATCCCACTCAAATTTGGCTGTATAATTACGCGCAATACACTAAGCCAATTATATATGCGTTGCGAGGAACTCCCTGCATTTAATTTGTAGATTTTGCGCACGCTATTCTATAGGATTTTCTTAAACTTTCATATATTGTATCAAATTATATGCTCTTTCAAATGGTTACTAACACGTAAGTGCTGCCAGCCGTAAAATGAACGAAAATCCCACTCAAACATGACTGTACTTCGCACCTCTTATATTATAAGCTTATTACATATGAGCTTTCAACAACTGTCTGTTTAATTGTAAAAATCTTGCGCGCTGTTCCATAGGATTTTCTTAAAATTTCATATATTGTATAAAATTATATGCTCTTTCAAATGGTTACTAACACGTAAGTGGTGCTAGCCTAAAAATGAACGAAAATCCCACTCAAACACGACTGTACTTCGCACCACTTATATTATAAGCCTATTACATATGACCTTTCAACAACTGTCTGTTTAATTGCAAAAATCTTGCGCGCTATTCTGTAAGATTTTCTTAAAATTCCATATATTGTATAAAATTATATGCTCTTTCAAATGGTTACTAACACGTAAGTGGTGCCAGCCGTAAAATGAACGAAAATTCCACTCAAATTTGGCTGTATAATTACGCACATCTGGTACACTAAGCCAATTATATATGCGTTGTGAGGAACTCCCTGCATTTAATTGGTAGATTTTGCGCCCGCTATTCTATAGGATTTTCTTAAACTTTCATATATTGTATCAAATTATATGCTCTTTCAAATGGTTACTAACACGTAAGTGCTGCCAGCCGTAAAATGAACGAAAATTCCACTCAAACATGACTGTACTGTGCACCTCTTATATTATAAGCCTATTACATATGAGCTTTCAACAACTGTCTGTTTAATTGCAAAAATCTTGCGCGCTATTCTATAGGATTTTCGTAAAATTTCATATTTTGTATAAAATTATATGCTCTTTCAAGTGGTTACTAACACGTAAGTGGTGCCTGTCGTAAAATGAACGAAAATCCCACTAAAATTTGGCTGTATAATTACGCGCATCTGATACTAACACTAAGCCATGCAATTATATATGCGTTGCGAGGAACTCCCTGCATTTAATTTGTAGATTTTGCGCCCGCTATTCTATAGGATTTTCTTAAACTTTCATATATTGTATCAAATTATAAATGGCGTGACAGGCAGACCTACAAATCATTAGCTAGTCATAACCAATTGGAGAACTGTACTATGCTTGCGTGATGGAAAACGAAAACCAACAGGGAGGTAGGCCTATGAGCAATGAGAACATTTAAAATGGCAAGTGCTATATATTTTTCAAATCTAGTTATTTAACTAGATAAGTATATATATATATCATATTGTTCACATGCATTTTTGTGAACTTAAACGATTTCGTGTTTCAGTTTCACAGGTGAGGAATTCAGACCTTGAGACCTTGATGCGCCCTTTGATACCTCAGGGGGACGAGATGCTTGAGAGTATGTATTTCGTGAAACGTTGGTTACGTTGCATAGAATATTGTATAATTTGCATTCTATATGATACCAGATTGCATATGCCTTTCAGCCGAATAACGTTCAGTCGTTTTTAGTGATTAATGTTCTGTTGCAATTATTCTATAGTGTTTGAAGCCTTCCAGCGATGGATACAGTCGCAGACACAAGCAGCTATTCAAATCCACCCGCCAATTGGTAAAGCTTAAATATTCGGTTAAAATAGAGAATATCAATTGATATGATTTTCAAACCTGAATATTTTTGACATGTGTTTTATCAAGGTTTTATCAAGGTTCATAAATCGAATAATTAAGATTTATCCTCATTTACATAAACTTCGATCAGCTTTGATTTTCTTGGCTTATAGACAATGTTTATTCTTTTTAATATTACTTTGCCAATGAACTTATATACTAACATGTGTCGTGTTTTACGTACGTTAAAACATTCGCATCCGAGCTTTATCTGATATGCAACTCTCGCCTTCGGATCGAGTTAGTATATCACATAAAGATCGGCTGCTTACGTTTTAACTATAGTACTAAACAAATGGCAATTTTTCGTTTTTTGAAAGACATAGAAAATAGTATTAAGCATGCATATGGCATCAAACAAAAGAATCGTCACAAAACTTAAAGTATAAACTGATCACGCATTATTAAATATATTATGCCTTATGGTATATGCGCATGCAGCAAAAGCTGTTCGAACGACTCACCAGGCACAAAAAACGACATAAATTACGTTTTTCTTAATTTTTTAAAAAAACGACATAAATTACGTTTTGTTAATTGTAACGTGAATTTTGGGACACGCATTTACTTATTTCGGTAACCGGGCAAAAGAATTAAAAGATACACCTTTTCCGTTCTTCACTGCAAACAATCATATACAATCTTCGGCAAACATCTGTGCGGGAACACTTATTTAAGTTGTATATATAATGTATATATTTGTTATGTTTGTCTGTTATTTAGGTAATCCTAACATGGCGCGCAACGATGTGCCATCACGGCTGCCGGAGCAAGGAAATGGATTGGAGGGTAAGATTAAATCAAAATAACGTGCGCAACAACTCCGGCGCAGTATCAAATCAACGCATTAATAATTTACCGATAATATATATACGTACACTGACCAATTTTAATACTCAACGAAAATTGATACCATTAATGTTTTCCTTTCTACTCATATAGATATAACTTGCCATTACTGCAGACAGAAGGGCCACAAGAAGTGGAAATGCACAATTCGCCCGAAAGGAAAAGGAAAAAGAGGGAAAAGGGGCGGGAAAAGGGGCGGGAAAAGGGGCGGGAAAAGGGGCGGGAATAGGCGCGGTAAAAATGTAAATATCTATTTATGATCCAAATAAACAACTTAAAAATAAAACGTGGACTTACTTGTCGTGCTGCTTTCCTAGCATACTAGATACACTATCCCGCATTTACGTATAGCCATTAAAAATCATCCCGAAAAACCACTGTATCAAATCCTATAGAAAAGCCGGCGCAACAATTTACAAATTGAAAAGAAGTTCCTCGCATCGCATACAATGGCTTAATACTGGCATGCCTAAGTCAGTCCTGTTTGAGTGGGATTTTCGTTAATTTCAGGCTTGCAACACTTACGTGTAAGTAACCATTTGAAAAAGCATATAATTTTATACAACATATGAAATTTTAAGAAAATGCTATAGAATAGCGGGTAAGATTTTTACAATTAAACAAACAGTTGTTCAAGGTCACATGCATATATATTAATTGGCTTATAATATATGAGTCGCGAAGGACAATCCTGCATGAGTAGGATTTTCGTTCATTTAAAGGCTTGCACCACTTACGCATTAGTAACCATTTGAAAGAGCATATAATTTTATAAAATATATGAAATTTTAAGAAAATCCTATGGAATAGCGGGCAAGATTTTTACAATTAAACAGACAGTTGTTGAAAGCTCATATATAATTGACTGATAATAGGTGCGAAGTACAGTCCTGTTTGAGTGGGATTTTCGTTCATTTTTAGGCTTGCACCATTTACGTGCTAGTAAACTTTTGAAATACCATATATGAAATTACAATATATGAAATTTATACAATATATGAAATTTTAAGAAAATCCTGTAGAATAGCGGGCAAGATTTTTACAATTGAACAGACAGTTGTTCAAAGCTCATATATAATAGGCTTATAATATAATATGAGGGGCGCAGTACCATGTTTGAGTGGAATTTTCGTTCATTTTCAGGCTTGCACCACTTACATGTCAGTAACCATTTGAAAGAGCATATATAATTTGATACAATATATGAAAGTTTAAGAAAATCCTATAGAATAGCGGGCGCAAAACCTACCAATTAAATGCAGGGAGTTCCTCGCAACGCATATATAATTGGCTTAGTGTACCAGATGCGCGTAATTATACAGCCAAATTTTAGTGGGATTTTCGTTCATTTTACGGCTGGCACCACTTACGTGTTAGTAACCATTTGAAAGAGCGTATAATTTTATACATTATATGAAATTTTGAGAAAATCCTATAGAATAGTGCGCAATATTTTTACAATTAAACAGACAGTTGTTGAAAGCTCATATGTAATAGGCTTATGATATAAGAGGTGCGAAGTACAGTTAGATAGATAGATAGAAAACTTTATTTACCCGCGCTAACCCTGTCAACCGAAGCTGATTGCCACAGGGGGCGTGTAAGAAGAAAATTACAGTAATAGGAAAGAAATTACAGTAGTGAAACGTAGTTACATGAATAGTTATTTACAAATAGTAGAAATAGTATTAAGAAGTACAAATAGTATAAAAATAGTATAATAGTTATTTACAAATAGTAGAAATGGTATTAAGTAGTACAAATAGTATAGAAATAGTATAATAGTTATTTACGAATGGTAGAACTATTGGTATATTTATTTAGAAAATGTGAGCGGCAATATTTTTTTGAAAGCATGACAGAGATTTGCTTTCCCTAATTTCATTTGGAATAGAGTTCCATAGCTTAGCACCATCATACATGAAACGATTTTTCATGCTATTGGTGCGTGGTTGTGGCAGACAAAGGCCACTTGAAATACTTCTGAGTCTATAATTTGTTATCTCATTTTTATAAGTAAAGAGGTTTGTGAGAGATTCGGGGCCTATCCCATTTAGAGTTTTGTACATCATTGTTGCTTTTGCCTTTTTTCTCATGATATGAAGTGGCTTCCATCCTAAGGCACATAAAGCAATAGAATGATCTACATCATTGCTCATATTTGAAATAGTTCGAGCAGCTCTGTTTTGGAGCTTTTGTAGTCGTTTAAATTGTATTTCCCCAAATACATCCCAAACTTCAGAACAATAATCGAAGTAGGGACGTACGATGGCATTTTATATGGAGATAAGTGTATCTCTTTCAGCAATAAATGGTTTGACACGACGTAGAGCTGAGATTCCTGATGTTATTTTTTTGCAAATACTTTCGGTATTAGGCTTCCAAGATAAATGCTGATCAATTGTTGTTCCCAGAGTTCTGGATTTATTAACTTGCAGGATTTGTTTGTTTTCAATTAAAATATTTGGTTGAGAATTTGAAGCATTTCTTATCATTTGTACATGCATGGAGAGCCAATCAACATAAATTCTGTTTTAGCCACATTCAAGCTAAGTTTATTGGCCATTAACCAGTTCCTAAGGTTTTCTAGATCAGAATCTCAATGTCAGCTATGGAGTGACTAGAGGCTGTGGGGTTTGTATCATCAGCGAATAGCCGAGGTCTTGTATTTTTAAGACACTCGGGTAAGTCGTTGATGTACAGCAAGAACAGCAATGGTCCCAAAATAGAACCTTGTGGCACACCACATTTAATCAAGTGTTCTGATGAAACAAAACTTTCTACTTGACACTTTTGGTGTCGATTTGAAAGATATGATTTTAATAGGTCAAGAGCTTGACCTTTTATTCCATAAAATTCCAGCTTTTTCAGTAGAATGTCATGATTGACAGTATCAAATGCTTTCTTTAAGTCTATAAAAACCACGAGGTTAAACATTTTTTATCTATATTCATATACCAGTCATTAGTACAGTCTAAAAGAGCTGTTGCTGTAGAGTGAGATTTTCGGAAACCAAATTGGGCACCACTTAGTAGTCCAAATTCAGTTAAATAATTGTAAAGTTGATTGTATAAAATTCGTTCCATTATTTTGCTTATGGTTGGTAATATCGAAATGGGCCTATAGTTTCCAGGTATATTTCGATGGCCACTCTTGTAGAGAGGTATAACTCTTGCCATTTTCCATGCATCAGGAAAGGAGGATAGAGTGATAGCCTGATTAAAAATATATGTCAATGAATCTGCTATGACTAGTGCAGCTATCTTTATAATTTTACATGATATTTTGTCAAGTCCAGTTGCTTTGTTGCTAGATAATCCACTCAGCAACTGATAAACATTATTAACATTAGTAGGTTGGAATGCAGCAAATTCTGATTTAGCTTTTTTGACATAAGTCTCAAAATTACAACTTGATGTGTGAATTTGACTGGCCAGATCTGGTCCAATATTTGAGAAATAGCTGTTAAAGCCCTCTGCAATGTCTTTTGGATTGTTTAGGGTATTTTCTCCTAATTTGAGTTCGTTTACTTTCGAATGTTTGTTTTGTTTACCCAGCAAGTTATTAATTGACTTCCATGCTTTCTTTGGATTGTGTTTTTGATCGGCAATTTTTGAGGAATAATAATTCTTTTTAGCATTTCTCAGTTCAACATTTACTTGATTTCTAATTTTTTTGTAGTTTGACCAACCAGTTTCTAACTTGGTGATAATTGCTTTTCTTTTTAATTTGTCTCTCGTACTTATGAGACCCTTACTTTTGTTTGTTATCCAAGGCACTTTACCGGACTTAGTTTTTTTGTGTTGTATTGGAGCATGTTTGTTTAGAACTTCTAGAAAAAGTTCCTTCCATATTTCCCACATAGCATTTGGATCATCACCGAAAAAGTATATGTATTCCCAATGTTGATTAAGAAGTTCATCTACGAAATTTTTTTTATTAAAATTTTTCATATTTCTAATTTCAACAAAATCATTAGCCTTTCGAAAAACTCTAATTTTTCTGATTGCATAAACTAGACTGTGGTCACTAATTCCAGTGTGCACGACACCAGAGTGTGAAATTTTCTCAGGTGTATTAGTGACTACATGGTCAATAAGGCTAGATGTTGTCATAGTAACCGAGTTGGTTCATTTATCAACTGGGATAATTGGTATAATTCATATAATGAGTTTAGTTTGTTTGTTGGCACATTGAAAAGAGCTTTCTCTTCTAACAAGTTGCAATTTAAGTCACCTAAGATGTACATTTCTTTATTTTCATCATCGATTTGTTTAATAAGTTTTTCCAAATGGTCAAAGAATTCTGCATTTGCATTTGGTGGTCGATAAATTGTAGTGACAATAAATGGTTTACTTTGTGGTTTAGTAATTTCCAAGCAAACAGCCTCCAATTCAGGGGGAATGAGATCTGATCTTATTTTGTAATTGATGGAGCTACGAAGGTCATGTTTGAATGGGATTTTCGTTCATTTTTAGGCTAGCGCCACTTACGTGTTAGTAACCATTTGAAAGAGCATATAATTTTATACAATACATGAAATTTTAAGAAAATCCAATAGAATAGCGCGCAAGATTTTTACAATTAAACAGACAGTTGTTGAAAGCTGATATATATAATAGGCTTACGTGCTTGTACGTACATAACTGGAATGCAGCCTTAAAGAATGCTCGCAACTCAAACTATAGTTGCCATTTGCGACTTAATATATTCATTTACTATAGTAAACAATGTTAATGTTATTGGTAATGATTACTCCTACAGCTTTGGTAAACTATACAATTGTTTTTAAACTTTAAAGTTACGAGTCACGCGAAAGATTAGGAGGGAAAAGACTTCAAAAGAACCTATAAGGAGTGACAATGACCGGCATAAATTCCGCTGTGACCGGTAAATTTAGTGATCCACCGGTCATAATGACCGGTATAACGTCCAGATTTATTTCGAGGCCTGATTTGTTGTTATGTATTCTTAATCCCTAACGAGTATGTGTAAATTAATAAAAAAGTGTTTGCAGAGTAGAATACGAGCCATCCTCACATTTTGCTCTGTGACTACTTTTTAGATCCCCGGACTGGCGTTGCAAGTTTCAGTAAAAGTTGTCTTGTCTAACATGGCCTTAAGGTTAAAAATGATAAACAGTTGCATATACACTCGCCCAAAAATGAGGGGCCTGTACCGGGTTCCGAAATCCCGCCATCCCGACCAATTTTCACTTAATATCCCGTTATCCCGCCATGCCTCATCCCAATTTCCCGTTCTCGCCTTCCTTTTTCTGATACTGTCCAAAGTAGTCATGATTTGGAAGTAGACAATGGATAGCGAGATTTTGAAAGAACGTGTTCATCGAAGAATACAACATCATTTAGTTTAAAAATAATTAAAGATTCCTTCTAAATTTTATTAAACCGCAATCAATGTAATCACATGATTGTAGATGGGAGATAATGAAATTGATGAGACTGATGACGGAGAAATTTTCAATAACTATCGCTAAAAACAGTAAAGTTGAGCACGGGCCCTTCATTTTTATGACGTGAATTTCTCGACTGTGGTTTCTATATTTGCTTG